TTTTTTTTTTTTTTTTTGGTACCAGGGATGAAACTTGAGCCCTTGTGCTTGCACTGGAACCACTGAGCTAAACCTCCGACCCTATCCCTTCCTCTTTTATTTCCTTTTCCTCCCTTATACTCTTTTCCTGTCTTGTATTCTTTTGTTTCTTTGGTTTTTACAATTCATATGTTTGATTTAGCTCTCTTTTTCTTCTGTACATGTTTTCTATTTTCTTTGTGGTTACATTGGGGCATACAGAAAATAACTTATAACAGTCTACTTATTTTAAAAATCTTCAGTAAGTTTATTGGTACATTTGAGGTATACAGTCTTGTACTTTTACATGATTTATCTTGGTTCTTATTTTTCCCCATTCCCCAGCCCTCCCTTTACCCCCTCCACCCTTCCCTTATTACAAAGGCAACTATTTTAAGTTAATAATAACTTCAACTCTACACAAAATATCTATACTTTTACTCCCCCACAGTATTAACAGCATATTTTACATATTTACATGGTATATTTATTAATATAGTTTATACATATAGTCACTTTGAATAATTGTCCTTTTTACTTCAATGCTATCATTAAAAATGAGTCACTCACTCTCATTTCAGTATTATAAGATTCTGTATTTGTCCATGTATTTACCTTTAGCAAGTTTTATACCCATCTATGCTTTCATTGCAAGGAGATAGATTAGCATGTTTTCATTTTGTCTTGAAGGACTTTCTTCAGTATTTCTCATAAAGCAAGTCTAGTAGACATAAATCCCCTCAGCTTCTGTTTGCCTGGGCGTCCTTAGTCTTTCCTTCATTTTTGAGAGATAATTTTTCCAGTATAATATCCTTGCTTTGCAGCTTTTTTGCCTTCAGCATTTTGTGTATATTATCCTATCCACTTTTATCCTCCAAAGCTCCTGATGAAAAACCCACTATTGTCTTGTAATGATAGAGTCACCCTCTTGCTGCTTTCAAAATTCTGTTTTTGACTTTGACAACTGGATATGTGTTTCAGTATTTATTTCTTTAATTCATTTTATTTGGGGTCTGTTGGTCTTCCTAGATCTTCTAGAAATTCATCCACTATTTTTTGAATAAATTTTGTTCCCTTTTGTTTCTTCTTCAGGGAATTTCATGTTATATGTACATTGGCCATTTAATGGTGTCTCATAAGTCCCTTAGCTTTATTTCTTTTCATCCTTTTTTCTTTTTGTTCCTCTGATGCATTCTAATTATCTGTTTTAAAATTCACTGGGGTTTTTTTTCAATTTGATCTAGTTGCTTTTTAATGCCTCTGCTAATGGGTTAGTAGAGTTAGTAGGGGTTCTGTTTTATATTTTTCTATGTGTTGAAGTTCTCACAGTGTCCATGCTTTGGTCCCCTGTCCACACTGAACTGCTTCATGGTGGTTATTTTTATTTTTGTTTTGTTTTAAGACAAGGTCTCATTTAAACTCCTTATGTAGCCCAGAGTGGCCCCAAACTTTCAGGAATTCTTCTGACTCAGCCTCCTGGGCACTAGGATTACGAATATGCTCCACCACTCTTGGCAATGATGGTTATTTTGAATTCTATGTCATGAAAGTGATGCAGTTCCATTTCTTCCCCACCCAACCTCCCACCCTCTGGTATCCAGATCGAACTCAGGAGCTTGAGCTTGTGAGACAGGCTTGGTGCCACTGAGATAAATCCCCGGCATATAACTCCATTTCATTAGGGTTAGTTTCTGGAGATTTATCTCGTACTGTACTTATGTTTGGTTCATATTTCCTGATCCTTTTCCTTGACTCTTTGTAAAGCCTGGGAGATTTAACTATTTCTTCAGATACATAGAGAGAAACACAACGTGGCCCAATACTGGAAAAGCCCTTCATCCATCAGCACAGAAGAATTCTGAGGGCCTCTCAAACCTTTGCACTGTCCAAACTACCATGTTCAATTATGTAGTGGGTGCTGAGTCCTGTCAAATCTTTGAGACAGGGGCAACAGAAGCTGGAAGCTTGGGCAGCCCACATGGAAATCGGGATGTCATATGGGCAGTCCAGCTCTTAGCTTCTCGAGGACAATCTGTGAGCTGAGGGTTGCTTCTGATTGCATAGGCTGTGCAGAGGGCAGGGATGGTGGCAAGAGGGTGTCTTGAAGTTTCCTGCCAGCTTCTATGTGGCTGATTTTGTGCTTGCCCTGGGTGCAAAAGTTTCTCAGCTGGTTTCTGAATTTCTCATTAGTGAAATCTATGCATTTATTATTGTTGAATTGGTGTGTCCAGGAGGGAAGGAGGGCTCAGGTCTGTCTATTCCATTGTCTTGCTGATGTCACCTGATTGATCTTAATGTAGTGACTTGTAAAAATGGAGTCAGACCAGGATTTGAAACCTGGTTTTGCCAATAATTCACTGTGAGACATTAGGCAAATAAAATCTGTGAGCATCATTTTCCTCACTGTCAAATGGTATTTATCAGAGTAGCTGTCTCATAGGTTGGCTCTGAGGTACTGTACTGATGACAAACAGAAACATACCTCAGGACTTGACATGTACTGAGCACCTCGACCAGGTTGCTCACCCTGACTACCTGAAAAAGCTTTGTTTTTGTGTGGTAAAATAGATATGAAACATTAAGTTTACCATTTTTAAGTAGCATTAAATTCATTGACAATATTGAGCCACCATCACCACCATCAGTCTCCAGAGCTTTCTCTTTATCCCAAACAGAAACTCTGTTTCATGAAACAGTAAGCATTGGCCTGGGGATTTAGCTCAGTGGTACCATGCCTGCCTCACAAACACAAGGTCGTGAGTTTGGTCCCTGGTACTGGAAAAACAAAAAACAAAAAACCAGCAAGCCTCATCTGGAGTTTCCAAGTCAAGTCTGAGCCCACCCCAGACCCACTGAACCAGGATTTTTGCAAGGAGGCCCCAGCACTGATTTTCACAGCTTTCCCCAGGAATAATAGTCACTACACTCTTTCATTGTACAGGAAATGGCCCCACCCAAGGAGCTCTCCAGGTCACTAGCCATGTTCTGTCACCTTGGCTCCCCGAACACACCATGTAAGATGACAAAGTGAATTGAAGTGCCAGATGTATTGAATAGCTTTCCATCCCTATAAAGAAATACCTACTATAATTAAATTATAATGAGAAAATGGTCACTCCTGTAGTCCCAGCTAATCCCTCCTGCTGAGGCAAGTCCTGTCAATTTAGCAAGGCTCTGCCTCAAAACAAACAGAACTGAGGCTGTAGGTCAGTGGTACAGTGCTTGCGTAGCATGTGTGACGCCCTAGGTTCCATCCCTAGTAATGGTGAGGGGGGTGGGGCAAAAAGAGGGAGGGAGGGAGAGAGAGAGCTTTATTGTAATTCCAAGCTGTGGAGGTTCTAGTCTAGCGGTCTAGGGCTGAATGAAGCCATTGCCTTAGGTATCTACTGGGTGGCAATGATAAGAAGCATGTGGCAGAGAAAACATCTCATCTCATGAGCCAGGACCCAGAGAAAGAAAGGAGACGGTGGGGTCCTATATCCCCTTCAAGTGCTCCTCCCAGTGACCTCGGACCCCTACTAGACCCCACCTCCTAACGTCTCCATGCCCTGGTACCACCAGAGGACTGCATCCTTAGTGGGGAAATTCAAGCCATGGCCCCAGGCCCCAGGCCACAGTGCAGCTGCAGGTGTACAGGACTCTCAAAACTCTTCCAGTCACATCCAGAGCCCACCTCTGTCCGTTTCGCTTCATATGCACTTTTCCATTTTCCAAAAGGAGATTTCATTGTTTTCTTGATCACAGAGGCAACATTTGCTAACAAAAGTCAGAAAATAAACAGGTAAGTGAAAAGAAAAATGCAGTTCCTATTTTAAAAACATTCTTCTTGTATTTCCTGACAACTCAGCTCCAAGCTCTTTCTGCTGTTTGGCCGCCATCTGCCCATGTGTCCGGCCTGGACAGTTCTCATTCTGAGTATCATGTGTAACCCATTTCAGGGAACAAGTTTTGTAGGGATGGAAAGTTTTATTTTCGGTCACATTCATTTCACATACTGCAATGAAGTTTTTCTTGTTCATATTTCATTTTAAAAGGGACCAAAGTCATTTCAGAACATGAGCAAAGTGCCTACATACATACAAGGTAGGAGACATCGTTGACTTATTTTAGTTGTTTTCATGGAAGAATTAAATTTGCTAAAATGTTTCCTTTCAAAGGGAAAAGTAAAACTCAGTTATGATCAAAACTATTGCCAGATACCTCTGCTTAGGAGTGGTCTGATGGGGATGGGGAGGTCCACAAATCCCTTCTTGTGATGTAGGCGGTGCCTGGACTTCAAATATGTCCCACAATATCCACATCAGTAGGAGAGTTATTGGAGCCACTCCATTTCCCCTTTAAAATGTGATAACACAAGGTATCCTTGCTTCAATCTCCTTGGATAGCACAGCTTCTTCCTAGCACATGGGTTAGCCAAGCTGTGGGACCTGAGTCTGAATGGCAAAAGAGCAAGTTCCTTTGGGTGCAGTGAGGACTATTTGTGTGTGTTGGAGTCGGGGTGGTTACCTTAAAAACCACCTTTGCCCTACTGCCTCCCTCATCTTCTGACCTTGAGGAGAATGAAAGCTGCTCCGAAATACTTCCTTGCTGAGAAACCAGAAAAGATCATTTCAGCTTGCTTCCTTGGCTGCAAAAATGGGACATTGTTAGAAGGCCAGTGTGAAAATTAAAAGGAAATAATGTTTGTAAAGCCTTTAGCATGGCGATAGGAACAAAGTAGAGACAGAATGATAAGCAGCTGATATTAGCATTCTTTTCCCTTCCTCCTTCTCTTCCTCCTCCTCCTCCTCAGTACCACCACCATCATCACCACCTATGCTGTACCACCTTTGGTACAAGTGTGGTGGGTTGCTTGTCCCCAATTTAGAATTTTTTTTTACCCCAGCAAAAGAGGTAACTATGTGAGAGCTTTCATCCCTATAATTTTAAGATGTTTGCTGACAGCACTAACTGATCTTCCTTAATAAACTCAGACTAGTATGTCATTAGTTAAAATCTAAGTGATCTTGTTAGGGATGAGCAGAACAGGCTGAAGCTGGACAAATGACTTAGTCTTGTGTATTTTAAACTGGGTTTTAGATCTCCCTTAAGAGCAACACCAGGGAATTTGTTTCAAATGAACTTTCCTTTATGTGCCAGATGAACCTGGAATGCCTTGTAATATACAAAAAGAAAGAAGCTGTACCCAAGGACTTGAGACTGAACACAAACAAACTTATGCTTGTTACAATGGGGAGATATGAGGAGAAAAAGTCAATGGATTAAAACACAATAAGTTATTTTTAATTCTATAAGTTTAAGTGATACCTAAATCAAATAAACAAAAGTTTCATAGATTTTTTTTCCATGGAAGCTAGGGAATAATTTATTACTTTGAAAACTAGTATAATAAAGTCCCTCTCCTATTAGATCCAATTCTCAAGATGACTAAATAGTTGTTGCAAGATTTCTCTCTGCAGAAGAATGCTAAATGAAGATAGTGTGTTATTGTATAACCATTGTTCTATCTTTAATGAAGTAAAGAATAAGCTATTGAGCACCAGCATTTTCTAACATAATACAAGGAGCATGTTAGTCAGCTTTCTGTCACTGTAACAAATACCTGAGATAGTCAATTTACAGGAGCAAGGCTTATTTTGGCTCAGTGTTTTGGAGATTCCTGTCCATTGTCAGTTGGTCCTATTGCTTTTAGTCTTGTGGAGAGGCAGCACAGAATATTGGAAAGTGGGTAGTAGGATAAAGCCAACCACCATGGCTGGGAAGCAAAAGAGAAAAAGAAATGGGAAGGTATGAGGTCCCACAATACCTTGCAAGGGCACATTTCCAGTGGCCAGTGGACTTCCCACTGTGTGCCTCCCAGGGGAAGCACACTTTTTCCACCTAGCCAAAACACAAGTCTAGGTGCTGGTGTGGGTAGCTCAGTGTGTTAAGCATGTTGAGACAAGTTTCAATTCCCAGCTCCACCAAAAACAAACAAACAAATAAACAAACCAAAACAAAAATGAGACAGTCCAACCACCAATGTTCAGAATATGAAGAAGATATGGGACAATGTTAAACTCCTTAACAATCAAAACAGCTAAATCTAAACTGCAGGAAGTACTGTAGGACATATAGTCAGTCTTGGTCACTTTTCTCATTATTAAGATAAAATACCCAACACCTGCAATTAAAAGGAGGAGAGGTTTACTTTGGCTCAGGACCATAATCCACTGGCTCCAAGGCAGGACAGCATGGCGCCAAAGGAGGTGCCAAGGAGAGAGATAAACTCTTCCAGTTGTGCACACAGTAACCTGCTTCTTATCAGACCTCACTAAACAACAGGTCAGCGGCACCATCCCATGATCCAGTCACCTTCCAAAAGCCCCGCCTTTGACCACATAAGGCTTTGGGGCACATCTAGATATAAACTATAACACTCTGCTCCTGGCTCCCAAAAGATTTACGGGCATTTCTTTATGCAAAATACATTCATTCCATGTTTAAGAGTCACCAAAGTCTTAACAGTTTTAGCATTGCTTAGAAGTACAAAGTCTTCTCTGAGACATAAGGCAAACTCTTAGCTGTGAGTCCTGTAAATATCAAAAAGGAGTTCAATACTACTGATGTGCAATGGCACAGGGTAAACATTCCCTTGAAAGAGAGAAACAGGAGGCTAGAAACCAACGGGACCAAAGTAGGACCAAAACCCAGCAGGACAAACATTCACTCCTGTAGCTCTGTGTCCAGCACCTGGGGCAAGTTATGGCAAGATCTGAACTCCAAAGGACTTGAGTGGCCCACCCCTTCGGCATTGCTGGTGGTTGTAGCCCTCACGGCTTCTCAGGCTGGCGTTGCTCCCTCCTTGCTGCTTTCCTCAGAAGTTCCACATTCCTGGCTTCCTCAACTTTCTGGGGTCTCCACTTCACTTTCAGCTTCACTCTCACAGCTTCACACTCTGTTCTCTCAGGAGCACACTGCCTGGCCTCCAGGCCTTCTTCTGAAACGTGGGCAGAAGCTTTCCTGACCCTACAACTCTTGTTTCGGCATGACTATGTAACTGGCACCACATGGATGA